TGGAAGTCTGATTTGAGGCCATGCCTGCATTGTCACCATGATCTAGGTTCTGAAAGCACGGTGATGTTCTGTGTTTTGTGATGGAAGTTTTGGCAATACCTGATGCCAAGCAGGTCCGTGCAGCCAGCCTGGCATCCCGTGTTTCCATGTGATCCCAAAGCAGTTGCTTTGAGCTTTCAGCCCTCCGGTCGTGGGCTCCCCTGAGATGACACATCAGCACAGGAGAGAGTTTATACAGCACTGTTGGGTGTGTGTGAATACACATCTTTGGACAGAAGTAATCTAGCCACTGAAGGCCTACTACTGAGTTTGGAGCCACAGCATGTGCTCAGAATAGAGAAAGACTCATTCTCCATCCCGTTCCACTCAAGAGGAGTTAAGACACCTGAAGCCACTCTATTAATTTTATCTACTGAGATGAAATCTTCTAGACCCTGGCACCATATTTGTTCGGAGAGTGCATTGATTTGGGCCCGCGTCTGCATTCCCGATTGTGTCCATTTAGCTCCTGCAGGAAAATGCCATTTACATGGACAAGGATAGTGACAAGAAGGGCCTTATGATCAAGGAGTTTGACTTAAGGAAGGATCATCCCAGGGGCACAACACAGCAGTTAAGAGCCTGGGCTCAGAAGCTAGTCAGCCAGGCTTGAATCCAGCTCCACATTTAATAGTTGGGTGACTCAGGCAAGATGCTGCACGTCTCCAACACCGTTTCCTCATCTTTAAAAATGGAGATCAGGAAACATTGAAACATTAAAGGAGCATTAAAAGATGATGTACGTAAAGGGTAAGCACACTGCCTGCGGCACAGTAAGCACTCAGTTAATATCAACAGAAATGACTTTTCTTTGTGCTGGACCTCCCTGTGGAGAGCAGACGTAAGCTGTGGAAGAGCCGTTGTTATGTGCCCATCTGACTCCATTTTATTTTCCACTTTTTAAGTATTATAGGCTCAAAGACTACCCGGGAAATTAGGTTGGAGTCAGGTGACTGAGTTGTGGCCAACGGGAGGAGGGTACACGTGATGTATACACATTCAGGCCTGACCCTTAAAAGGTCCTCACTTGTGGCCTCTCTATCCCTCATTTGCAGAGCTAGAAATGGAGGACCCCAAGATGGCGGACCCACAGGATGGAGGAAGCTCAGATCCCTGAGCGCCTGTGTGGAGAAGACATGACAAAGAGAGCTGCCCCACATGTTTTGGACTTGGTGACAGTAAGAAATAATCGTTGATCATATTGAGCCACTGACATTTCGGGACTTGTTACTTTAGCATAACATAGCCTATCCCGACTAATTCACAAATGAAAACCAGCACAGGGGCTGGATGGGGAAACTAGCGGGTCGTGACGCAATGCACATTCCCAGTCAGGTGGAGACGAGCACCATAAATTTTCCTTCACTAGGAAAATAATTGTCATAATTTAAAAACATTGACTGCCAATTCCCCTCCCCCCCCCCAATTTCCCACCGGAACTAGACGGTTGTGACAGCATGGGGCAGGTTTTGTGACATGAAACCCTTCGTCTGAACTTTCTGGTCTTCATAGAGCACTACTGTTGCTCTGCTTCCATGCCCCAAGTTTTGCATGATTCTGCGGATTAAAAACATCTTCTCCATAAATTTCAATAAATTGGCAGTGATTTTTCTGCAGTGGAAACATATTCTTATTTAAAATTGCACGTCATGGCATGTATCTCATCTGGGGACCACCTGTCAAAGGAGGCGGCCATTTGTAATTAAGGGTACACAGAGTCCTAAACGATGGCAGCCAGTCCACGTTAGAACCTGACCACATGTGTTTAGCAAAACACCACACTCCCGGGACCAGGATTGTCCTATGCCAATGGGCCAGAAATTAACCCTGTAAAGAAAGCTCTGTTTTGAAGACCCCAGGGCCTTTGCATATACTATTCCCTTTGTCTAGAATGCTCCCTCTTCATAGAACTAGTTCTTCTTCCAATCTCTTACCAAATGTCACCTCTTCAGAGATACCTTCCCTGACTATTCTTTCTATAAAAGGTACCCCCTCCCTTAATTCTCTATCTCTGTACCCTATCCATATCCTTCATAGTAATTATTACAATCTATAATTTGGGTGGGTTATTTGTTTACTTGTTTATTATTCATTTTCTCACTCCAGTCCAGTTTGAAGGAACCGGGCCAGTAGTCTCTTCTGGAACCCAGAACTGAGACTACCTGCAAGGTATGGGGTAAGTCATAAAATCAGGGAGAAAGCAAGGTTACAAAAGGAGGAGAAGAAAGCTGGTGTGCAAAGAAGGGCAGAATGAAAGGGCCTGGAGTTCTCTTGGCTCCTACTGCTCCAGTTCTGGTTCCGGCTGCATTTCCTTCTCCAAAAACTTCAAATAAATTCCCCTTTTGTGTTTCAGCTAGCTTGGGTGGGTTTCTGCTACTTACACCCAGTCTGTCACTTAATTAACTCAGAGGAAAACAACCAAATAAAGAAGCAAGGTCCCAGTTCAGTTCATTGCAATTTATTTAATTTAAAAAATAAAAACGGAAACAAAACAAAACGAAAAATGAAAAACAAAACAAAAATCAGTTTCCAATGAAAATACACACACTTTGGGTGGTTATCCAGCTTTTGCCCCCCTGTAGGCTGTTCTGGGCTCAAACCAATCAAATGAATGAAAACCAATTTTGACTGGAGCCATAAAGCATGTTGCACCAATTAAATTACACCAATATATTATTATAATACCTTTGAAATGCCTTTCAGACCAATAAATAAAAAAAGACAAATTCAAATAAAAAAGTCAACTTTTTATTACCAAAAAAACATAGAAATTAAATAAAAGTCACAACACGGATTTTAAAAAAAAAAAAAATGTGCAGTCAAGTTTCTCTCTCTCTCCTTTTTTTTTTTTTTTTTTTTTTTTTTTCTTCTTCTAGGAATGATACCATGCCAGTAAATCCCTACAAAACATTTCCAGTTTGGCAATAAGCAGTCAGTCGATCATTCACATTTGTACTCAAGACAGCAGGCCAGAGCAACACTCACCTGAATTCCCCACCCCCCACAAAGGGCTCCCCATCATCTGAAGAAGCAGCACCTTATAACAGGGATGGAAAGTCAGAGAGCACTTAGCATTTTCATCTCGCCTAGGGTCTTGAAGCACTTCCTGAAAACTGATCATGCCTTAAAATTTACCTGTAAAAAGAAGTATAATTCTACTCCTTTGGCAGATGTGTAAACTAAGACACCGAGAGGCCCACAGAGGCAGGGAAAGGACCAGGACAGCTGACATGGATTCTCCTGCTTGGTCCACCAGGTCATGAAAGTGTCTCTCACCTGTAAATTCCATGGAAATGAATCGAGCATGACTTCCTTGGTTGGGGATTGACTGGTAGGGACGATAGGACTTAATCAGGAAGCAGGGGAGCTGCCCGTCAAGAGCTCTTCTCTCTATTCCAAGGTTTTCCTTGAAAGGACACAGTCAACATGGCATCTAGAATCACAGGATGTTAGCAGAATGTCCGAAGCAGGCAGGGCCTGAGAGACTGGCTAATCCACCCCTCCAGCCCTTGCTGAAGGGAGAATTTAGCCCTCAAAACACTGCAGGTGCCTAAGGCCATCGACTGGTTAGCAGCACACCAGGACTCAGCTCAGAACCTCCGCCTCTGAGCGGAGGCTGTCTTTGCCACAACCCACTGTTGGTGTTTATTGACAAAAGAGAACATGCAGGTGTGGGGCTTTGGGGGGAGGGGGAGAAGCAGAGCGATGTTCCTTAATAGTGTCATTTTAGAAGGAAGGAAAATATTAAACAAATGCAATCACTTGGCAAAAGGAAAAAACACATCAACCAGTAGGTAGGCGCTATACCTTCGTAGGTGTCATACCTTAAGTCATACTGACAGCCACCAACTAGGCTGGCCGAGCTGCCACGCGTGACGGACCAGCAGTGTGGCAGTATAGGCTGTTCAGAAAAGGTTGCATGAAATGAGACATGGAGTGGGGAGCTCACAGGCTGCAGGATGCCCTCCATGCACCCACACATCCCCCACACACAATTAGCTATCTACAGATTTTTTTCCCTTTGAACCTATACTGGAGTTCAGGAAGGAGGCGGCATTGAAGGAAAGAAAATCGAGAAGCTTCCCGTAATGCACCACTCAGCTCAACCTGAAGGCACGCACAAGCCACAACCCCAGAGCTAGCGACGGGGGACAACTGGAGCCATCTCCTCAAGAAAAGGGCAGTTTCATTCCAATGATTGTTCTCAGTGCCTTAAGGTGAATTCTTTCTCATCTCTTTCTGAATGACTGTCTATTGGTTTTCCCAAAAATACCCCCGAGACTAGTCTTCCTTATATATCTATGTGGCTACCAGAGGTTGGCCATCTTGCATCAAAGGGTTCAATTTTCCCAGGCCAGTAGGATCTGAAGTCATCCCAAATTCCCCAAAGAAACCACGAATTCCATACCCGGCATCTGAAGATGTCCCACTGTGAGACTGACATCTTACCACCGGCAGTCTGGGGCTCCAGAAGTTAAATACTTAGTTGTATTACTTTTTAACCGAAGAGTCCTGC